CCATTATAAAAATAAAATATCGATAAGAAAATACTCTCACGATTAGGGTGATCGGACTGTGAATTTGTGAGTTCCAAGTTCGCAATCCGTTGCACAAAAACGTGCTCCGCATTATGGTGTTGTGAGTGCGCTGTAAGAGCTAAATCCAATTATTCGGTTAGACATGGGGACCCCAAGAGTTGGCGGTTGGTTCTATTGACTAGCTGCCTTTATTCTAGTCTATTTATTCAAAATTAGGGACATTTTATGTATAGACAGTCCTCAGTGCAGGTTTGTTCGTAAATTCTAAAACAAACCCATCCCATATCCAGTTTTACTTTCTTCATAGAAGAAATTCTTTGTGGTTGAGCCTCAATACTATCATGTTTGTCCAGCAATAAGTAGTGGTCTAGCCTCAGGACTGTTATGTTTAATCCTGTAATAAGTAGTGGTCAAGCCTCAATTCTACAATGTTTAGTCCTGTAAAAGGAGTGGTCAGGCTTCAGTATTGAAATGTTTTGTTCAGGACTGATATGTTTAATCCTGTAATAAGTAGTGGTCAAGCCTGAATTCTACAATGTTTAGTCCTGTAAAAGGAGTGGTCAGGCTTCAGTATTGAAATGTTTTGTTCAGTAATAAGTAATGATCAAGTATCAGTTCTGTCATGTTTTGTCCTGTAATAAGTAATGGTCAGGCCTCAGTACTACCATATTTTGTCCAGTAATAAGTCATGTTCAGGCCTCAGTACTACCATGTTTTGTCCAGTAATAAGTCATGGTCAAGCATCAGTACTGCCATGTTTAATTCTGTAATAAGCAATGGTCAAGCATCAGTACTGCCATGTTTTGTCCAGTAATAAGTAATGGCCAAGCATCAGTACTGCCAGGTTTTTGTCCTGTAATAAGTAATGGTCAGGCCTCAATACTACCATGTTTTGTCCAGTAATAAGTCATGGTCAAGCATCAGTACTGCCATGTTTATTTCTGTAATAAGTAATGGTCAAGCACCAGTATTGCTATGTTTTGCTCAGTAATAAGTAATGGGCAAAGATCAGTACTGCCATGTTTTGCTCAGTAATAAGTAATGGTCAAGGATCAGTACTGCCATGTTTTATCCAGTAATAAGTAATGGTCAGGCCTCAGTACTACCATGTTTTGTCCTGTAGAAGGAATGGTGAGACCTCAAGATTTCTATGTTTAATCCTGTAATAAGTAGTGGTCAGGCATCAGTACTGACATGTTTTGTCCTGTAAAAAGAATGGTTAGACCTAAGGATTGCCATGTTTGACCCTGTAACAATCAGTGCATAAGCCTAGGACTGTCATGTTTGACCCAGAACTGCCTTGTTTCATCATTTAACGAACTGTCCTTCCAGCCATCTTGTCCATTAGTTGGCAATGTTGGGAAATGTAGATTTTTTGAAAAACATAAATGATAAATAATTTCAGGTATGAAACATCTTTATGAAATCACGCTTTAGTTAATATCTTTAAGCATGTATTCTACAGTATACTTCATTCTTCATGTGGATTTTAAAGTATTGTTACGTCTCCGTTTGTTAATTAATTTTCCGTAAATTCTTTCCGACGAAACTTTAGCGACACAAGTCCTTTCTTAATAAAACTGATTTATTCTTTCCGAATACAACTTTACGATACACTTAATTTCAACAGTCGCGCTATAACAAACGCTATAACAACGAACGTCTCACGTGCTCATCTTCAACAATACTCTCTGACTGCATTTCAGTTACTCATTACCTACATATTGTCCCGTCACGTTGTGACCATCTTATATATACCAGCCTACCCCCAATCTAGTAATCTCCCGACAATTCACGAAGATTCGAGAAGGAAGTGGCGTGATACTAGTCACGTGACCTCGCGGACGCAAAAGTATTTATGAAGATCTACAAATCAAGTCCATAAGGTTTGACGGAAGTTTATTTTGTTGACCTGTAACTGCAGATTTTGTTTACACATTTTCACATAGCCAGTTTCGGTTTTACTTTCTAACACATAAACGTATTTACTTACTGAGCATAAAATGTTGAAGTCAATCTAATTCGAGCTGTTTCACCCAAAATATGTTGCTTAAAAGTCGCATTCAAAATATGTTACGTAAAAGTGACACCCAGCATATGTTACGTAGATATTACACCCAAAATATCTTACATAAAATTCATACCCAAAATATATCACATAAAATATGTTAGACGGGATGTGTGTTTTTTACATAAGTTACGTAAAAGTCGCGCCCAAAGTGCGTTCTGTATATAATTACATTCCAAATACTGTTACGCCTCCAGTCGTTACTTAATTTTCCGTAAATTCGTTCCGAAACTTTAGCGACACAAGTCCTTTCT